CATATGAATTAATGTCAATGGATTGAAATCCAATTAAATGAATTTAAATTGAATTCCATTTGGTTTAAGTTGAATTTATATTGATTTAAACTGGATTTAAATAAATTTAAAAAATTTAAATTTACAAAATGTATTTTTGGATTTATTAAACTTTCTTAAATGTAAATTGATCACCCCTAGTTCCGATTTCTACACGTAAATATTCAATTCTCCTTCGCCACCATTTTATGCGAGCAGATACTTTCATGGTCGGTTATTTTCGCCGGATTTTTGCCAGTTTGGCTGTAATATTCATCCGGCCGGTTGCTGGTCAGATCGGACCGGACGAATTCTTTAACCGGCCGGACAGGATCGGACAGAAAAAAGCTGTCCGGTTCCAACTCTGATACAAGAACATCTATTTGTGATCGATATAAACATAGAAAACGACTAAAAACGGTTTTTCAACATGAAATATATATTTCAATAGAATAACTGACGCAGCTTGTTGTGCTCTCGCGAATGATATATTGAACAATAAAATTAGTTTAATATTATGGAAGTTACATAGAGCTCAAATTATTCGACTGAATTATGTATCATAACAAAAATTTCAACTTACAACAGGCATGCAACACTTTCCAAAAATAACAAGTTGGATACTTTTCTAGTAGTATACTAGAGACTGACTATAGGTTGTAATTTAGCGAAAACAAGTTGCTTTTAGCTCATCTAGTTTTCGAGATATAGATAAAAGAATTATTTTATATATTGATATTCCAACAAATTGTGCTCTATAGTTCTAAAATATTCCACTATTCCTCAGTTGATATCATAATATAAGAATTTCGATCAAAGCCGAACTATACGACATAGTCAAGCTACATTTATTTTTGTGTTGAACTATATTTTTTTCTTGACAGGCAGACTCCACTTCTTAGAACAGTTGAAAGAGGGTGTGGGTGTGAGTGACGGTTAGTCCAATTCTTCAGTCAGATTCTTCTACTCACACCCATTACCTATATTTGATCTTTCTTACAATGTTAACACTATTTTATATAATAAAACATGTATTTTTCTATTCACAACTCTCTAATACATTTACTGATCATTTTTCATGTCGATATTATTTTTTCAACATTTTTACGACCAACCATCTTAACTCATTATTATCTATTAATCACTAACAGCGTTAACTTGAGGTAACTTCATATCCATGAAAAAACTTTTTTTTCTCAGCTATCTATTCGTCTTCACTATGCTTAAAACTCATTCATGAATGGAATAACAAGTAAAATAAATATTTGTTCGTTCAATATCACCAATTGTACAAAATTCTTTGACAATAATAAGACCACCACAAGTACTCAATAAATCAGCATTATCAAATATTTACTTAGGAAGTATTACTTTAGCGCAAATTATTGCTGAACATAATCATCAAGATATGAATAAAATAACTAAACTTGTTGTATGACTTACAAAAACAACTGATGAAATGGGATAATTATTTCAAATATGGTTTAACAAATCTGATTGTCGTTGTGTACTTTGTTTAAGTTATGATCAAGTATTAACACCATAAAAATTTATGATACATGTTAATAATGAGCAAATGACAAATATATAACGATTAACGTCAGAAAAATTATCCGATTATAAAGTTAAATTGTAAATTTGAAATATTAATTCATCGATTGATTGTTTCTTTTTATCTTTAGATGAAATGATTTTTGAACAAATTTAACTAATAATGCAAGATAAATTAGACAAAATTCATATATTTCGTCATTCAACAGATTAGAAGAAAAATAAAGAGTATTATTAAATATGATGTATCCTTCAATGACAGTTTTACTATTATTTTATAACTGTTTGTCTAAAGAATTTAATGTCTTCTTACAATAGATGATTTTATACTTTTGTGAAATTCATATTGTGTACTTCGAACCAAAATATAGTGAGTGTAAGTTTTAAGTCAAGATTTTACGACTCTTCCACCTATCATATATAGCAACCGAGTTCTCAGATTTCCTCAGTAACAGAAGAGACGCTGAACTATAATTTTTGCCAGAGACTTTCCACTTGACATATTTTATATTACTATAATGAGGATAAACAACGTATGATGCGAATTCCACATTTTAGCTCCAAAAGGGTCTGCACTAATAAGTTTCGTTTTTATTTATGGGATGTCATAATATCCATAAGCTGGGTATTGGCGAATCACGAGTCAGGATATCCTGAAAAGGTGATACCCAAAACTGAATACTTTTATCTTTAAAAAGTGAGGATTTTAAGTAATTACCTATCTTGCATTCTGCTGTCCCAAAATTTTTACCAATATTTCAGAAGTGTTTCCTATTCTCTTTCTTTTCTGTTTTCTATCGTTTGAGCTGTCTATTACTCTCGCTCTCTACAGGTGATTTCAGTATCGGCAATGGTACGAATATGGCTCAGTCTGTAGCTGTTGGATATTACGTTGTCTGTGGGTGCCGGGGCAGTTGTCGGTAAATGTGTTCATGTGAGTAATGACGCTTGTATGGTTACGGATGAGGATATCAGAGCGACTGTGAGTCTTGGTTAAAGCCACAATTCGGATGTCAAGAGTTGGTTTTCGGATTCACATGGCGGCTACTATGAACCTATTTGTATTGATAAAGTCGTGTGTCTGACTGTTCGCATGGCTGCGATTTCGAGGGCAACTGTGGGCTGTGCCTTTATGAGACGATTCAAGGATTGGAGGAATATGAGTATATCCTGTCCCACAGAGTCTCTTCAACTTTTAAGATATATAGGTATCCTGTTTTTTGGGTATTCATCTCGTTACACCAAATTGACTAAAAATTCTCAGTTTTAAAAAATATACCGATGTTTTAGAATCTCGATACCCAAGTTTCGGATATTATGGCATCGTTCTCGTTTTTATTTTAGTTTAATCTTGCAAGTAATTCATCAAATTCGATCGGCACATCAACTACATCGAATACTTCTCGTTATTTTCAAAATATTATATTTAATATGTATTTGATAATTTTTTATATTATTAAAAATAATAATTGTTGATGGTAGGACATCCTATAATGAATTTGAATAATAAGTTTTTATCAAAATCTCATACCTCCTTTATTTTATTGGTTAGAAGAATAAGCGAATGAAGAACGCAAACTATCGTATGTATGTGTATGTATGATTAATACTGTCAACATGAAAATGAAATTACAACACTCATAGCTAAAATTTAACTGTGAAATGGATCGTCTTCTCGGTAGTACAGTTTTTGGACAACCATCTCGAAATGGTGCTCCTCCTGGTGATGCACCAATGGTTGATACAGCTGAACAAGTTTATATATCATCGTTATCATTACTTAAAATGCTTAAACATGGTCGAGCTGGTGTACCGATGGAAGTGATGGGGTAAAATCTTCATTAAACTAATGTGTTATTTTTTATTTTATTTTTTTTTGCTTGAAAATTTTGTTGCATTCTTTAGATTAATGTTAGGCGAATTTGTTGATGATTATACAGTTCATGTTATTGATGTTTTTGCTATGCCGCAATCAGGTACTGGTGTTAGTGTTGAAGCTGTTGATCCAGTTTTTCAAGCTAAAATGCTTGATATGCTTAAACAAACAGGTCGACCTGAAATGGTTGTTGGTTGGTACCATTCACATCCAGGTTTTGGTTGTTGGCTATCTGGTGTAGATATGAATACTCAACAAAGTTTCGAAGCTCTAACTGACCGTACAGTTGTAGGTTTTTTTTTCTTTTTGTTTTAGGTTTTGCTATTTTATTTTTTGAACGAATATTATTTTTCTTATTTAGGCTGTTGTTGTTGATCCAGTTCAAAGTGTAAAAGGAAAAGTTGTTATTGATGCATTTCGTTTAATACAGCCACAAGTATTTGTTCTGGGTCAAGAACCTCGACAAACGACATCAAATTTAGGTCATTTAACAAAACCATCTATACAAGCTTTAATTCATGGTCTTAATCGTCATTATTATTCCATTAGTATAAATTATCGGAAAAATGAATTAGAACAGAAAATGTTATTAAATTTACATAAAAAATCTTGGATGGATGGTTTAACTATTGAAGATTTTAATCAACATAATGAACATAATACTAATGTTGTTAAACAAATGCTTGATTTATCAAAAAACTATATTAAATCATTAGAAGAAGAAGAGAAAATGACACAAGAACAATTAACTACAAGAAATATTGGAAAACAAGATCCAAAAAGACATTTAGAAGAGAATGTTGATACTTTAATGAATTCAAATATTGTTCAGTGTATTGCTGCTATGATGTCTTTGGTTATATTCAAATAGAATTTGTTTTTTTTTTGTATTTTTAACCGAGCTGCTTTTTTGTGGGTAAAGAAAAACGATAATATTTATTCAAGAGAATATGACAACGAAAGTAACAACTAAATGCCATTATGTTATGAATGCTGGTAAAGAAATATAAGATTCCTTCTATGATTCATTTTTCATGAAACACAAAAAAAAACAACAATATACAATTTCATATGGTGCATATATTTCTGTATACTTGAATCATCGAAATATCGCACTGCTTATTTTTTATACTATCGTATACATTATACATTCCTACATAACAACACTAAGTAATAGTCAGCTATGTATTCAGTAGAGCAGTATTTGCGCTGTTCTGTTCTGTTTTTTTTTCTCTCGTTCGTCGTTTTTCATTCAGCCACCTGATTTTATAACTAATATATTCCTACACGAAATATTCACTCTCTCATTCATTATATGACACATTAAATCGCATATATACATACAACCAAATACTAAATGATGGAATGGTATACACTTGTTGCGATTTTTTTGTTAATTCTATTAGCTATTGCTTTGGGCGTTATTCTTGCATGTATATTAGCTGGTCAACATTGTACAGTATCGGTCCAACAACGTCAACAAAATCATGAATTAACAAAAGTACAACAAGAACAAGAAAGAAAAAGACAGAAAAAAATAAGTTCAAAAATAAAACGAACATTTCATCCATCATCTAAAACACAACAACCCACAGCACCTATTGAAGATGTTAAAACAGTTGAATTTACATTAAAATTGGGTGATGGTAATAAGAAAACTGAAGAATTAACAGCAACTAATGAACCAACTATGATTCTTTTACCTCCAAAACGTGTTTCTCAAGCTGAACTCGATGAACGACAGAAAAAACGAGATGAAATCAGAAAAAAATATAACCTTTAAAAAAATTTTATTTATTTATTAGTTGATATTATTTAATAGATTTTTTTGTATAATATATTTATGGAACAAAGGCCAACCAGAAAAAAGCTCATGAAAAAATCGACTGTTGATTTTTTTTAATGTTCGCTTCATCTTTTTTCTTACAAGGAATAAACAGTATGTCGTCTAAGCAGCATAAAATATGTGGGACTCATATGTGTGTTTGTAGATAGCACTACTTACTGTACAAAACGATAAAACTAGGAAGTGGAAATTTCTGGTTTGCCATTATTCTCGAGAAAATTTACCAGTCTATTCACCTGTACAAAGATCTAGATTTGCTCCTTGTGTTATTGCCGTACAGAGTTCTAAAAAAAATTTATGTTCTTAGTTTTTTCTATATTAGCTGGTTTTTGAAGATTGAATTTCAAGTTTATACTTGCACTTCTTTTAATGAGATCTCTTTAATTAAAACGAGAAAAAATAGGTTCTCGTTTCTCATGACTCTTCTTCTTTTTTTTTTTTTTTTATGGATGACAGATGTGTGTTTTTATTTATCATCTTGAATAGAATTAGATTGTCTTATGAATTGAAATTCGTCAGTAAGAAAGATTTCGTCTTATCTATATTTGCAGTATTAACCTTTTATCTACTCAGATCAAACAAGCACGCTCGTAATCACCGAAAGTCGTCGTATAGTGGTGTATGATATGACTCAGCATTATGATCGTATTCCTCCATATCACATGGAGAGAAATACGATCGTTTATTGAATCTGTATACAGCTTCTACTCTACTCAGTATCTCGCCGTCAATGGTCAAATTTCTTCGAATACGGTATGAAGAAATACGGTGGTAACAATGACCATCACACTGCGGGTGTGGGGTGTGGGTATGAGTGTCTCTGGAAAGAATACTAGCACCCATACCTACACCTACACTCACACTCCTTTCTTGACAGAGAAACACTTCTATTGAAGACTAACTTCATATTTGGAATCAATATTTACTAGTCTTCGTCTGAGAAATTTTTTCATGTATCGGTAGAATAAGAATCTCATAATGGCTTTTCAGTAAAAAACACGTTTTTTATCTGATTTGACATTCAAATTACATTGACATATAATAAAGATATATTGAGAGCAAAATAAGATCTTTCTAAATGAAAAAACAAAACACATGTCCATCTCGCCTATGGAAAAGTTCTCCTTGTGCATTATAGATTATTTTGCTGATAATTCAATTTCAACCTAAGGGACCGTTTCGGTTTGAGATTTTTCATTTATAAATCCTGGAAAAAAAACGATCATCTCAAATCTTTACAATATGTTGAATCGGCTTTTTTGGCGAAATTTGATAAAATCAAATAAAGTGTAGTGAAAGATTTACAAGTTTGAGAAGCGGTGAGGGAGTCATCATGATCGCAAAACGTATTTTGAGGCTCATCAGATGTCGCATCGGCTCATTTTTGGGTGTTTTCTGGTAAGAAAAATCGAAAAATAATTCGAAAGAAAGGGGCGTTCCTTACCAGAGTTGCCAATCTGTATCACACATAGTCAAATTTTCCATCTGTTGGATGCCTCGGTTTCCACCGTTTTATAGTACACTAAATTGTGAACATATCACTTCAATCAATACTGTGATAACTGACAGTGGTGTACATTAATGATATCAACTTTCCTCATTCATTCTAGTTTAGTTTTAACTGTCAAGGTTCCAAGTGGCATGTCATTCTGAAAGTCAAAGTTAACTCAAAAGGTCACATATTCTCTTAATGATAGATGATTCTTTTTAACTAATTTGTTGTTCTTTTCATGAGATGACTGGAGTGAAGTTTCCATTATCAGCTGTGCATTCGAACCGTCAATGAAGGATCTACATAACTACTCAAGCTTCAGATTTTTAGATTTAATAATCCAGGAGTTATAAACATTGTAGCAAAAATTCTCGACCGATTTTTGAAGCCATTACTGTAAAAAAAATCATAGTTTTGTTTTTTTCTTTATGTTAAAAGAAACCATTTTCCGACATTTTTTCAAATAAATTTTAATTAAAAAGCACTCCAGGAAAAATCTTAGGAGAATCTATGCAATGTGATTCAATGCAACTTCATCTCCACTTTCCAATGGTCAAAATTGAAACACTATCTTGTCTCTCTAAAAATTTATTCAAAAAAATACCCCCCCCCCCCGCATTTTTTTTTGAAATAGGCCTTTGTAATGCAATCAACTCGATACCATTCAATAGATGAAGATAAGAAGCCGATTTTTCTGATCGACATTACGAGTATTTTCTGTTTTCCAGTTTGTATGATTTTTTTATGATAACAAACTTTTTTTTACTGTCATGGAACAATACTGATAAATGTAATTTAATCATCTTAATTGAACAGTACTAAATATATGATCGAGACTAGCGTTAGTGCAAATAAAAAAAAGTATATTTTGTCAATTTTTCATTCTACAAAATGGTCACACAATACATTATGAATTTCACGAAGGGCGTTCAGAGCTCGGTTTTTAGAAACTTATCCGAATCAGTCAGCATGAACTTGTGGTAATTATACATGTCAATTGATTCTAAAGCAAAAATCTTCATCCTTTAGCGTATTATGTTGGAATCATTGGTGAAATATGTAGTATAACGAAAAAACAAAAATCAAGAACAAATAAATGCTGTTCTCGTCGTAACTTTTTTCTAGCCCATCAAAATAGTTCATTTGACTTCATTAATTACATCAGAGGCCAAGATAAGTCAACCAGATTCAATGCTAACATTCATCACTGTATATAAAGCTAAAAAAAAATATTTAGTCAACGATAAAAATCAAACATTTCGAAAAATGATTATTATAAAGAAATATACAGAACAAATTTTTTGTTTTGACAAATCCTCATCCTTCAGTTATGAACATTGCACATACTCAATTTATTTTCGATAGACAAGCGATAATAGATCTATTGCAATCTGTTACAGCTTGATGCATAACATATTAATGAATGCGTTGTGATTCTTTTTTTTTCGAGAAAGTGAAGTATTTTCTGTCAACCAGAACAAAAATTGTTGATATTACATCCCTATTCAGACCAGCTATAATTTACAAGTATTCAATAAAAACTCTTCAACAAATGAGAAAATCATCATACTTTTTTTCTTTAATTATCAATTTCAAGTGTTCAAAATCAGTACTCAAATTTATGGTATATTAACCAAATGATATATATATACATATATATTCAATCGGAAAGAGCATGTTCGTATAATATCAAAGAAACAATATTTAATAGTTCTTTATTTTATTTGTAAGAAAAACATTTGCACAATAATTGTTTCGATGAATTAGATTAGCCGTTGTCATTGTGATTAACAATAAAATATTCTAATGCGTTTAACATTTTCTTTTCAAATCAACTGATCTAACTAGAATATATAAGTTGAAATTTATCATCTAAAAATATACTTGTTGTTTCTTTTTCTTTTGGTAATTAATTTTAATGTGTGAAAAAAAAAAAGATCATAATCTATTTTGATGATCCATTTGTTGTCTGTTAATCCTGATTAGAAAACAAAAAACAAGCAGAGTTATCTTGATGAGGATGCTAGTCATTGGAAATCGAAATGTATTTACTCATTTCAGACACAACAGGGTGCCTACCTATATATATATATATGTTATTATTGTTGTTGTGCATACCGTTGCACGTCAATGGCGTGTTGAGTGATTAGGGTTTAAGTATGTAAGAGAGAAGAAACATATAGAATACTCTCAAACTTGCATCATTCACGAAAGAGAATCAATTTTGTATATAGATTTTTTTTCAGGTGAATGAATTGCTCACATATATATGTATATCTTAGTTCCGATTGGATGGAAAAAAAGAAATCGATTTACGAGAAGAAGACGATAATAGCAACAAAAAAGAATCCACCAATCAGAAATCAGTTGACATTTTCTCTCTCTCTCGTTCTTTTTCTTTATGATAGCATTTTTTTTTATCAAAAAAAAAAAGGATACAGGTAGAAGAGTAAGCATACAATTTGTACTTTATTTGTTTGATTTAGCTACGAAAGCATTTATTGGTATGATGTTATTTTTGTCTAATTTCTCCACTTATTCTGCTATTATTTCTTTCATCTTTTTTTTCTTCTTCAAATACAAATATTCGTATATAACACTTCGGTTTTCAAAAACCAGACAGAGTTAAGCTAATTGCTTGTTAGAAAAAAAAATCCTTCTTGGACGGTTGGTACTGAGAAATGTTTTCTTCTTTTACAGATTCTATGATGTCACGAACAAAGAATGACGAACTAAAATTTTCTATTCGAAATTTAATTGATACAACATCATGTGGCAAAAAAGAAAAACGTATATCGAGTCAATTATCTGCTAATTGTCATTCTCAAACAAATCATTCATCAAAACGATTAGTTATTGAAGCCCAAACACCATTAATTTGTCGACCAATTCCAATAGCAAATGATAAATTTCCTCATCCATGTTGGTCATTTTTATCACAATTAGCAAATAAAAATTCTCCAGGAAATTTACCATTACATTCTTCATTAATTTTTCTTAGTAAAATGAGTCAAGTTTGGGAACATATTCAACGAACACAAATTTCACCATCAATAACAACAGAAAATGATAATGTTTCTGATGAAGATACAGATATGGATACATCATCTCTACATCATGATATTGAAATTGAAGATGATGACGATGAAGAAAAAGAAGAAGAAGATGATGATGATGATGATGATGCAGGTGAATGTTCGAGTAGTAGTGGTGGTGATAAGTTAAATCCTTCATCAAACAGTGAAGAAAATGATAAACTAAAAAATTATCCTTGTACACAATGTGGAAAAGTAAAATGAATTCTTTCTATCAAAATATAGAGATCAAAATCTTTCATCTTAAAATAGATCTTTACTGCTCAGTATAATTTAGTTCGACATATGCCAGTACATACTGGTATTCGTCCATTTATTTGCAAAGTAAAAATGTTTTTTTTTCTTTTATA